GGGGGCCGGGAACAAGTCCGTGCATGACGAGGGACGATGGATGAATACAGTTTATTATTTATTTATTTATCTGCCTCAAATATACTGATACCGATATACCAAAAATAAGCATAAGTAAAAAGACCCCGCATTATTAACGTTTTCCAAACCAGATTGCATTTCAGAAGTTAATTTGACATTGCATGTACTCTACTGTAGTTGCAATAATGAAGTCATTTTAAATATGATACCAAGCGTTTCGGCTTATCCGGCTGAAATCAAGCTTATCCGAACAGTTACATTTTCCAGGGTACGATTTTGTCATTTTTGTCCAGATGTTTAATGGAATGCATTGCTGAGCCGGGAGAACTAATAGGCCTGCTATTTGGCTCAATTTATTTCTCGGCGAAGTGTCAGGGATCGTCATTTCGCCTGATTCAGAGCAATCGGAAGTTCCAGCCGACAAGCCCAATCTTTCAAAGTCGACTTGAGCTGCGTATGTGTGCGACACTTGTGTGATAATTTAACTGCGATCAAAATAAACCTGAAAAGGTTGCGCTGAATAAGATTTTTGTGGGTTGTTTAAACACTTGTGGGCACACATGTTCTGAAAGGAACTTGCAATTTCGGACTCAACACACATTGCTTTCAGACCTTCTACGCGTTTATAGCTATTTCTTTTTCTGCTGAGTGAATGGGTTAAAATATTTAATATTTTAATGAGAAAATATCTTTTAAGTATTATTTACTTAGACAAACCCCTGCTGCCGAGTAAATAGTATCCTCGTTTGCTTTAGAACTTTGAGTCGACTCCCAAAAAGATCGTCCGACATTCTTACGACTTTCCAACAAAACGCATTCTTCTCATGAGAAACTCCAAAGATAGACAGGCCGGAGGTAAGTTAATGCCCACGTGTTCCTGTTAAACATATTGCATGTTTCATTCGCAAACTCCGCGCACCTTGAATGCTTTGATGGAAATGTGTATGGCTAACCGACTTCTGCAAGTTGAGAGTGCTCATAGTCGTAAATCCCTTCTAACTATGTAGTTAATTTTAGTATCTCACTTTCAGAGTCAGGATAAATCGTGCTTGTGCTGACCTTAATAATTATGTAACTATTGCTCGGTCAATGGTAATTAGGGTATATTAAGGCTAGTAATTTGAAAGCCTTTGAGTACTTCTCCATTTAACGCATCTAAATTCAGCTCATAATTATGGACAAATTACAGCTTGATCTTTTCTTGATTAAAAATACAACCACTATTTGCTCGTAACTTTATGATTGCCTAGTAATATATATTGTGCATCTGTGTCCCTGCAGTTGGACAGTTGAAATGCAGTAATGGAAATTAAATGGAGGCGTACAGTAAATACCCTACCTCATAAAAATATAAACAAATGTACGAAATGTGTATCTGATGGGAAACCATTAATTAATTAGGCTTCAAATGCTAAGTATATTGCAGCGTAAGCCTAAGATCTTTTAGTCACGTTAGGATATCGGCTTTTGAATGAGCATCTTTCTGTCCACCGGCATAAAGTATACTCCATTACCACTTACTGCCCATGTAGTATGTATTTTTCTCATTAATCTTCGATGCTCCTATACATTCAAATATATTGTATAGAAAGTATATACAAATTAATTATTTCTTCTTTTCATTTGGCAGCTACTTACACCTTTAAAATCCTCTTTTTAAGCTTTTAAAAATTACAAAAATTACAGAATGATTTTAAATCCGCCGGCTATAAGGCTGTACTTCGAGAGTATTAAAATACATCTTGCATACATTATCTAGGATAAATAACATTCCTCTAGCCCATGTGGAAGACGGCCATTATTTTTCATAAAATTTCACAAAAGATGTGAAACTTATCGCATACTTTATACGCCACATTACTAAAGTGACAGATTCGATTTCTTATGAATAACTATCTCATGGTTTTAAACGAACTCATTGTTTACCATTTTATAGATATCACAAGATACATTTTTTCCAATATTACATTTGAACAAAGTGTAGTTGTCTGCGAAGCAGTACAAGAAATTAAATCTTTTTCCATTTTTCCTATACAATATATTTAACGTTATGCGAAGCATACATCCCTATCAATACTGGAGGGGAAAGTACATTTCAGGATTTATGTTAATATTTCATGTGATGAAGAAAACACTGTGGTAATCAGTGACCGATGGATATAAATATTCACCTTGAATTCTAGCTTTTCTGCTCAAAATACACAAAACATCAGTACAACAGCAAAAACCTTAGTGATATATCCTTTCAGTGGCCTAACCTTCTCATAATATGCTAAAGCGCGGCGTTTTTTGACGCAGTACTTCTGTCGGGGTATTCAAGCCATTTTATCTTTATTTTTTAGGTAACGGATTTGGAATTAAAATCACAGGTGGCAGAAAACGAATTGATGGTCGTTTGGGAAGTTTCGTCGATCAAGTGATCTCAGGAGAGACACTCAATTATCTGCACGGAGAAATATCCGAAGGTACGTTTGAACGCCTGTCCGTGACTTTGCCAAATGAAGCTTCTCAGAGGCATTTACGATTCAGTAGTCTACGACTTCAGTGCATAACTCGGTGCAACAAGTCACCAAGTCTATCATAACGCATAAGCAATGTGATAAGTGATCAACTACACGTCAAAAGTACTAGTTTTTAGGACAATGATACTCTTTGGACGTCAGTTTCTGGGGTAACATTGGAATTGGTTTTGACTAGCCGACGACTGGCTGGCTAATAAGCCAGTAATGGCCATTCTAATCTCCCTTGCCTTTGTCGGGAATGTCCTTCTGCTTATATCCTAAGCCCCCTTTCAGCGTGGGCTCGAAGGGGGACTCCAAAGGCACCATGGACAGACGACTGTGTCCTCTAACTGATTGGTATATGCCTATACACCACAGGATGTTTTATATATTTTAGGGTGGCCGCATAGTCGATAAGTGAACGAGGCAACGGCGACTTTCTAACAAGAAACCATAACTCCTGTTTTTTCTGAGCGTTTCATAATTTACACGGGAATCATTTACTAGTGGTGTTCGTTGCATGTTCTTTTCTAGTGAGGGAGCAAGTTGTGGATTTTTTTCATAGTGAATTCATGGCCTCAGTCAATAATGGTTGCTGGATGACAAATTAGACCCTTAAGACTGTTGAATTTTCTCTGCAGAAATTCACATAATTACGCGTCTTTATATTTAGTGACAACCTCAAGGATAATGTTGACCGTTTTAATTGATAAGCTCTCCGCCAAGTCCAAAAGTTTCTTAAAAATCAGTGCCGAAAGAAGCAGAGAAATAAATGTCAGGACTAGGCATGTTACTGCATGACAACTGCGTCCTATAAAAACCCGCAACCCTGGCATCCACAGCACCCTTATCTGTTCCTTTCTATGATGAGGGGTTCGAGCGAGGATCCTAAACTTCTAAAGCAATAAACATTGTGTTCCTGCGATCGTCGCATAATTACCGTCTTCTCCTTCAAAAAGTAGGATTGTTTGTAATGTGCTAATTAACTGACTTTTTTCTTTAATAGATTTCACATTTTAATACTTTCATTCTGTCTGGTTTTTAAAGGCGACGAAATAATTGAGTGGAATGGTACTGTCCTGATCGACAAAGAAGCCTCTGAAGTGCAAGCCATCATCAACACTCCAGCGGATGAAGCCGAGCTACTGGTTCGCAGGTTAGTCTTCCATCTTATTGCTTCCTAACAAAAGTATGCTCTGCATGTAAATATCGATTACTCTGGAAGCTCTGAAAAAAGGGACGCCCGACCGCTGAGTTCTGAAACAGGCCTCCCGTGACCAATGATAAATTGCCGCTGTCCGACAGAGAAATTGTTCAGTATAGCACACTACTACTGCGACATATGGCGTATAATCGAAAATGTAATTTAGGTGGTTTCCTCGGTAGTTATATCTGTAAGGCCAAAAGATTAACTGGGCGAGCATTTGCTTGCTATCTCTTCAGGCCTTAGCATTTATATCGTTATGTGACTAAGTCAAATATTTGGTTTGGTAGAACAATTTCTACAGTTTGTAGGATCGGGGGGACCAAATTGGGGTCAGTGGAAACGGCTTCTGGTAATGGTAATAAGCCGCGGTGGTAAATGGGCGATTTTCGACCGTGGCAACTGCATCGCCTATACATAGTGCTGTTAGGTGCACAGTAGCGGGTTGCGTTACCTGATGGCAGCCGTTTCAACTGCAGCCAACAGACGCTGTCCAATGCATTTTGAATAGTTCGATGAAACCTTGGAAATCGTTTTGGCATATAAATGATGATCTGAGTCTAGAATGTGTCTTCGAAGGGACCTCTTAATGTTCTATATTCGGCTCTTTTCCAACCATGCCGGAAGATGTTTTCGTAATCTTTTGGACAAATTTCGGCTGGTACAACCAATATATTCGGCTTGAAGATAAGTCATAGTAAGCAAACGTATGCTATCATTTACATTTTTCAATAGGAATGTTCACAAGTTAAAAATGGGCAAATATTCAGTGATAATGATTGAAATAATTACGTGTTTTGCTCATCCATGTGTCCTTTGCCGATGTCCTCGTTTGCCCATCTATTTTTTCACCCTCAGGAGAATGTAATTCTCTCTCTCTCTCTCCCTCTGTCTTCGTTCGATAACAGCATTAATTATTCACTACCACACCAGGCAGACACGAACACACTCCAATACCACTTCTCCTTCTCCTACTGTTTCGCCATCGAGTGTGAGCTCACAATCACCACGCATGGAAGCCGTCCTGAATGTTTTAAGTTCTGGTGCGTTCTAAAGGAGCTCACCAGCGGGTATTCGTGAGCCTTAACTGACGGCCGCACGCACAGTACACGTCAGAATTCGTGCGACATGCCGACATGTGCGAAAGATTGAAAGCCCTTCGCTAATTGGCATTGACGCAGGTTGTGATACTGACTATCGTGTAGTCTATTCTGAAGTTAATTCAGTCATGATAGGATGCGAAATTTCTAGCAAACTTCGTTCTGACCACTAACAAAACGTATGTACTGTTAAAATTAACTACTTAAATAGTATGCATTTTTATCATTGCTTTTGACTCATTTTATACAATCAAATATACTCTATGGAAAACATGCACGAAAGGAATATTTCTTGTGCTCGTTTGGTAGAAAATTACGCCTTTAAATTGCATACTTAAAGAAAGGGCATCTTTTGGTTTTGAAAAAGTTTCTAAATTGCCGAATAATTTTGAATTCTAGCGACTGCTACACTCGAAATCAAGGTTTACAAACTGCACAGTGTGAACATCCTGTTTAAGGAAAAGTACGTTTTCCTCTACAATTTGAGGAAGAAGTCACATAGTTCTCATAAAATGTAACATGCTTTATACTGTATAGGCAGCATTAATAAATTGACGGATACGATGCATTATGAATCAAAATATCACGATCGTAAAATATTTCATGATTAGAAATGTTTCCAGAACCGAAGGATACCCTTTATTAAATATAAATTTTAAAGAAAGCGTAATTTTCTACCGAACGAGTACAAGAAATAATTCTTTCGTGCGTGTTTTCCATAAAATATATGTGAATTTATAAAGGTAGTCAAAATCAATTATAAAAACGCATGCTACCTATGTAGTTACTTTTAATAGTTACTTTTAATAGTACATACGTTTTGTTAGTGACCAGAGCGAAGTTCGCTAAAAAGTTCGCATCCTATCATGACTGAAAAAACTTCAGAATAGACTACACGATAATCAGTATCACAACCTGAGTCGATGCCGATTTGCAAAATAGTATCAATAAATGAATGCAGGTGT